AAAAAAAAAAAAAAAAAAAAAAAAAAAAAACATACGAGTCGAATTCTGATCGTTAGATCAACACATACCTATATAATCTGACGATTCAGATCAATTGTGAGCGATAATTAATGTTAGGTGGAATCTTTCTAAGGTTACTAAATATTTTTATGTCCTTGCTAATCAAATATCATCCGATCATGTCTTTTTCATCAAAATTAGGTTAACTTTTAATATTGTCCTTATTGGATGGCTCGAATCTCAATTTGATCATTATTTGTTTGAATATATAAACATGAAGGCCATTATTATATTTATGTTAGCTCATGTGGATTGTCTTCTTCGAGCAATTTGCAGGTATTGGGATATGGTTGGGCCGGGCTCTTGAGAAAGTATGTGATCGAACCGGCCCATATGTGGTGGCCTGGTACCCTGGTTCAAGTCTCCCTCTTCAGGTCTGTAATTTTCCCTCTCTAAATTCTTAATTACTTTTATATTTGTTTTGGTTCTGAAAATATTTGCAATTTGCTACAGTGACATTATAACATAAAATTTAACGTAAACTGTTATTATATATCTACCTCATTTTTTGTCATCAATTATGTTACACTATTAGATTAACGGTTTTGCTATGAAGCCAACAATTGACTTTATAGTGGAGTCAACAGTTGGTTTCATAACAAAACTGTTATGCAGTTTTTCTATAAAACCAGATGGTTGGTTTTCTTATGGACCCAACTATCAATGAGACGGCTCCACATGGATAGTCTCATGTGAAGTTGTCCCATTGGTGGTTGGTTCTATAGGTAAACCAACCATCTTGTTCTTTAGCAAAATTGAGTAAAAGATATAATGAAAAACTTTTACTTTATCAAAGAGATCCTCTATTTATGCTTTAAAGAAAAAGAAAAGAAAAATAATCATATCTATCTATGTCAAACGTATTTTGCATTCACATTGAACAGCCTGGAGATGCCTCATATTTCATTTTCATAGGCTTCACGTGCAAAGCTTTTGCAACAACTTGCATAAACAATTCTCATATTTACGGCTACATTCATGGATCTGTTACCCACTCTTTAAAGTCCTGGAGCCAGTCTTGACAGTTCATCTTTTTTAAATTACCAAATTCATCCTTAGACTTGTAAACAAATTTCGATATTCGTGATTCGAATTCGAAATATTCGAATTTGAATTCGAATACGAATTATGTATTATATTCAAAATGGTAACGAATTCGAATTCGAATTTGTAGTTATTCGATTCGAAATTCGATTCGTTACGGATAGTTATATAATTTTTAAAAATAATATATAATATAAATTTTTGTTTTATAAATATATATTGTTATATTCCTAATATTTTTTTGACATATAAAAAGTGAAAACATCTCAATTAATAATTTGCCCTATCTCAAATTGGATAGGAAAAACATAAACATTATCTTTATAATTATAACTTTTTTAATTATAATATTTTTCTGAAAACGAATTTCGAATTCGAATTGAATATCTTAATATTTGATTTGATTCGATTCGTTTACAACCCTGCCCTTGAGGTTCACCTCAATTACTAAAAAGTTCCTTATATCTTTTGAATTTACAAATAATTTATTACAAACCACACCTTAGGCATGACTGGACACAAAATATCCATTTATGACTGACAAGCTAATTCTTTTAACTTAAAATTCAACTCAAACTTAACTCAATCCAATTTTCTTCAATATTATCAATATAATTAAATAATACCAATAGAAAACATTTGTATTCGAAATTAACTGAATAATCTGCGTCTCTAAAAATATTTGTGTTCGAAATGAACCGACACTCTAAAAAATACTTCTAACTATGCAGGGCCTTGCACGAAAAAGATGACAGACGCATGTCGAGGGCCAAGTTTTTCCTGATTGCACTAATCTGCAGCTTTTCTTGGTACGTAGTGCCGGGTTACCTATTCCCCACTCTCAGTAGCATCTCATGGCTATGTTGGACATTCTCAAAGTCGATCACGGCACAACAGATTGGGTCTGGCCTAAGAGGTCTGGGACTTGGGGCCCTAACATTAGACTGGACAGTTGTAGCATCCTTCTTGCTCAGCCCGCTCGTATGTCCCTTCTTTGCTATTATGAATGTCCTAGCGGGTTATGCACTGATAATCTACATAGTGATCCCTATAGCCTACTGGGGGTTTGACTTATACGGTGCGAGCAAATTCCCGATTTTCTCCTCACACTTGTTCACATCTCAAGGTCACAAATATAATATATCTGCGATTGTGAATGACAAATTCGAGCTGGATATGGAGAGATACAATGAGCAGGGTAGGATACATCTCAGCATGTTTTTTGCCCTGACGTATGGGTTCGGTTTTGCAACTATCGCATCCACAATGACGCATGTAGGATGTTTCTATGGGAGGTACTATACTAGTTCGTTTTAAAATTTTTGAACTTAAAAACTGACAGTTGAAGTAGGACAGCTAGTACAAAAATTCAGATTACGATGCTAGTCAAATAAAGAACTTAATGTACAATAATGAAGCAAAAGATTAAAAAGGTCATGATTGGTAAATTTTAAAGCATATATGAAAATGATCTGTTTTCAAATATATATTAAATAAACTAAAATGCAAACCTAAAAATATCAGGAAGAACTCTATCAATTTTTCTTCATCATCGAAGATTGATGAAACACTAAACAGCTTGCAAATCTTGTATAACCACAGAGAAATCTACTCGAGGTTCCGTGCTTCATACAATGGAAAAGAAGATATCCACACAAGGCTTATGCGCAGATACAAGGACATACCGTCATGGTGGTTTCAGATATTACTGGTAGTGACACTTGCAGCTTCTTTAATACTCTGCATCTTCTTAAACGACCAGGTTCAGATGCCATGGTGGGGACTCGTCTTTGCCAGCCTCATTGCCTTTATTTTCACACTCCCAATCAGCATCATTACAGCCACAACAAACCAGGTAATCAAAGGCAACATATTCATACACATTTGTTGTTTATATGCTGCAGATAAAAGATATATGTAAACCTGAAAATTAAAGGGAATAGCAACAACATATATATCCAAATACGGAATTGTTAAGATAGTCTGTCTGCGAGCATAGACACTTGCATAAAAGGGAAAAGAAATCCCTGATTGAAGTAAATGCAAAACTGACCATGTTTTATTTGCAGACACCGGGCTTAAACATAATCACAGAGTATGTTATGGGTATCATATACCCGGGAAGACCAATTGCTAACGTCTGCTTCAAAACCTATGGCTACATGAGCATGGCCCAGGCTGTCTCCTTTCTCAGTGATTTCAAACTAGGTCACTACATGAAGATCCCTCCCCGATCGATGTTTATAGTTCAGGTAAACAGCATTATTCCAATATAGTTCCGTATGTCGTATATGATGGGTCTTCACACTTCACGAATGTATAAAGTTCTGATCCCCATTTATTACAGCATATCTAAGGTAACCGTATTGGAATAATTCCAATACGACCTTGTGCACTTATCCTACTCATCAACCATGTTTCCAACTGCTCTGTAGTTCTTAGGTACAGTTATAGCCGGAACAGTCAACATTGGTGTGGCGTGGTGGCAGCTTACAACTATCACCAACATATGCCAAGATGAACTCCTTCCACCAGACAGCCCATGGACATGCCCAGGAGATAGAGTCTTCTTTGATGCATCAGTCATATGGGGTCTAGTTGGACCCAGAAGAATTTTCGGAAGTCAAGGAAATTACAGTTCAATGAACTGGTTCTTTCTTGGTGGTGCATTAGGGCCGATCCTGGTTTGGGTTCTTTACAAGGCATTTCCAAGACAATCTTGGATTCCATTAATTAACCTGCCCGTCCTTCTAGGGGCAACCGGTATGATGCCACCAGCGACACCATTAAATTACAACGCCTGGATAATCGTCGGGACGATTTTCAACTTTTTTGTTTTCCGCTATCGGAAGAGCTGGTGGCAGAGGTACAACTACATTCTGTCGGCAGCTTTAGACGCTGGAGTAGCTTTCATGGCAGTGGTGCTCTATTTCTCTCTGAGCATGGAGGGCAAAGGAATAGATTGGTGGGGTACGAGTGGTGAACACTGCGATTTGGCAACTTGTCCAACTGCCAAAGGCATACAAGTTGAAGGCTGTCCGGTGCACTAATGTAATTGTACTTAGCGTCTTCCACACCTTGTCACCGATGGCATCTTTTTTTCTGTACGTATTCTCAAGAATTACACAAACAATCTGCTGATAGAACTTATCAGTCCAAAGATACTTTGGCTGAAAACATCCATCAGATAGTGTACCAGTAATCTTTTCCAGTATAATATATGAAAATATCAACGCCAAATACAGATCCATCTTCTTGTTAACAGGCCTAGTCATGTTACCATCAAAAGCTTAATGCTATTCTAGTTTAAAAGGAAACTTATTGAAGTGTCATTGTCCACCGGAAAGCACAAAACAAACAAAGAGAGTGTATGGAGTGACCTAAAACGTTATACACGAAAAGCATTAAATTCTGCCACCACTCTTCATTTGCTGTTATCATTTTCCTCAATTTTTAGCTGCATGTTATCCCCGAAAAGCAACAAAAAATCTAACCCTATATTTCATTTGTTAATATTCCGACTGAAACAGATTCCATATTGACACACAACACCATTGTAACCACAGATTGGTGAAATCTACCAGTTGCGAAAAAGAATACATTATAGGAAAAATATATACTTGTCTACCAAATCAGTTATCTCCAGTGCAAACATGTCACTGATATACGACTGATGTGTGCAAGATACTATAGAAGGTTGCCAGGTTGTTGGGGAAGATCAATCAACTATCTCCACCGCAAATGTGCCATTGACAAACGACTCTGATGTGTTCACAATATTATCGCAGGTTGCTGCAGTCAAATGACTCTCAAAAACTCAATGCAGTTGAACAAAATATTCTGTTGGACAAGAAGTCTAAACACTACGATGAGCAAAGACAGCAGATTTCAAATGCTCATACAACCTTCACCACTTGACTACCTATGAACATAATAGAGAGCACTAAACTAAAACACTGTTACATTAAAATGGTACTCATCATTATTCAACACAAGGCATTCACTTACCAGTTTGCAATTTTAAATATTGAAAAGTTTTCTTTCTAAAAGCAATTGCATCACTCCTTATTCTTTCTGAAGCCCTAACACTAACTACTAGCTAATGAAAAACAAGGGAGACATTTTACAGATGGATAACAATGATCAAGTACCACTCAAGAACTTACCGTTTCGGTGAAGACTGAACTGAAAGCCACTGATTGTACTCATCCATGCGAATAATAAAGGAGCTGGAGCTTGGAGACCCTCCACCACCATATGCCTGCAAGGTTCAGATATATGAAAATAGACATGAAGCTCTTTCTGGGAACATTCTTCTGAGACAAAATCTTTAATAGTAAAGCAAGGAGGGTCAACAAGCAGGGTTCTTTAACATATTCCACACCTTTGCTATTTCAGATGTATCAGTGCCACTGTCTATGGTCCTCAGGCACATTTTCAGATTGTTATGCTGCATGTATACAACAGCTCCAATTGGCCTATTTCATCAGATGGTAATTTAAGGAAGGCAGTGAGCTAGTGCCAAATAATAGCCTCAGTTCAAATATTTCAAGACAACAAAGTAATTATCAACTTGAGCTAGTTAAAGCAAGGGCCTCAGATAAAGACCACCGCTCCAACTGAAAAGTGTCCATCCATGCTCTTGCAGAGATGCTCAAATATACGCAATTATGCATTAAACCCCATGAGCTAAGCATCATAACTTGAATAGATAATAATACTATTAGCAACAACATACTTTACAGACTAAATATCAACAACGTAAAATCCACATGTTACAACTTTTCCAGACACTTTCCTACTGCAACAGCTGGAAAACTTGTAGAATAGAGGTTTATAAGGATGAGAAACAAAGGACACTAGAAGTTGGTATCCATCCTGACTGTAAATATCCATCATTCCCTCATGCCTCACTAGATTCTCTATGTATTGATGCACAAAATAAAGAATTGTATCAAGATAATTTCTAAGTATGTACACCAGTGTATGTTTGCCTACAGAAAATTCTTATCTGCTTGCAACAGCAAACTCAAATCAGAGCAAGGTACTCTATTATGATGGAACTTGATGCAGGTGATGCTGAACTAACTCTGTTGTACAACCAGAATGATGTAGGGAATGCGTACGAATGGGAAGATAAAACGAGATACTCTCTCGTTAAAACACAAAAGAACAGATTTCTTATTTCATATTCAACTTGAGATAACAAAAGAGGTGGAGTCCTTTATATAAGGCTCATAAACCCTAATCCTAACTTGTCCAACAAGACAAGAATCCTAACAATACTAACTTGTCTAACAAGACAAGAATCCTAACAAAGTGATAAATAATAAGTTTCCTAACAAATCTATAATACCAATAATAATAATAATAATAATAATAATAATAATAATAATAAATAATAATAAAAGATTCTAAACATCCTTATCTCCATCATTGATGATGCAGCGCATCCCACATCGGGTTTGAAAGGAAACGAAGCAGGCCTTATATGAGGATGTGGATACCTTCACTAGTAAGACGCG